TAGAAAGTTTGGAGACCCCAAATTTAGATCAAAGGGCCAGTTTACTGTCCTTCCAGGTTTTTGGGGGCCGGACTGTGGTCTTTGGGATCAGAAATTGTCCTGGCATCAGTGGGAGTAAACCATGCATCTTTAGTATTAGGAGGAGGAATAGCATCCCACCTTTGGTGTCAATGGGAGGAATAGCGCCCCATCGTTGGTATCAGTGGGATGAATAGTGCCCCATCCTTGGTATCAGTGGGAGGAATAATGCCCCATCATTGGTATCAGTGGGATGAATAGTGCCTTATCATTCATGTCAGTGAAAGGAATAATGTCCTATCATTGGTGTCAGTGGGAAGAATAGTGCCACATCATTGGTGTCAGTGGAAGGAATAGGAAAAATTCATTAAAACCTTCATTTTGAAATGTACCATTGTTGCGCTGTCTTTAATGTAAGTTTTGTTCTTTATTTTGTGTAATAAACATTTATTTTGAACATACTGTAGAGAAATTCTGTGACAAACACATGTATTGCGGGCAGTGTAATATGTAGGTGGGGCTTTGTGTGGGTGCGGCTTGAGTGGGCAGGGACACAGGGGGCCCCATGATCTCCTATTGCCCGGGGGCCCCATGAGTTGTCAGTCTGCCCTTGCGTGTGATGACTTGATGAGCCCCTCCATCTCTGCCACTCTACCCAGACTTATCAGCCATCTAATGTCATTATTAACCTCCACCCACCCATCACTGTAACAAACTGTACACTTGTAATTACTTCCATTCCCTCTTACTCACGGTGCCAGTGCCGCTTTTTCTTCCACTCCTGCCTCCCAGCCTCTGAATGACAGTAAGTCAGAGGCCAGGACTAGAAACTATCTGTCAGGTGGAGATCACTCCGCCTGACAGAATGTATTTCTTCTACAGTATTGCCAAGTGGAAGAGCGCGCTCGGCACCCGGCTGCAAGCTGCATGTGTACTGCCTGATCTGCTTGGGGCAGTGGCTTGGCTCATCAATTTTGTAGCTCTGATTTGATAGGGGGCAGGCTAGATCAGGAGCTGGTGGCATGTCAGGTCGCAATCTACCTTTCAGATGGCCGCAATCAACAGGCAGATTGTGATCGATGGGTTGCCGATACCGGATTTACTCTGTGTGGAATCAATGGTCTCTCTCCACAGGTCCTGCACACCCCTGCTGAGACAGATCTAGAGCAGATAGCATGAGCTTTTCTGATTGGAAGCTCTAGTTCTGACACAGCATTGGGGGCATGTCAGACCTTTGCAGAAAGACCACTGCTTCTACATAGATAGGAAGGGTCCTTCTCTGAAGCATATTGACAGGTGACAGTCTTTTCTGCTCAGGCTGTGGCTGCTTTCTAAAGAAAAGAAACTGTAAGACTTTGCACACCTTTTGTTTTAGTGCACCTGGAATGTATTTAGATGATATACACTTAAAGTGGAGTTGAGTTTGCCTTTCCCTTTGGCTGGCTTGTTTTTGTGTAAACTATTTGATGTGTTTTTTTTTCAAATAAAAGGTATTGTAAAATGTAAAAAAAAAATAAAAGACGTTACACATTTTGTCTTTCTTTTGTTTGTATTTTAATGCAATTTGTAAAATAACAGTAAGGGCCTATTTACATTAGCTACAAGGACTGCTGCTCTGAAAATCAATCCACACTCGGACAGGCAGCGAGGAAGTGATGTGCCACACTACTGCACCGCAACCACGTGCAATGTGCACAGTTGCGGGGTAGTTGCAGAGTGGTCCCATTCACTTGAAAAGGTCACATTTAGCGGGCCCACTGAATGCTAGGGGGGTGTCATTTCTGCTATGGCCACAAAGTAAAGCATTATGGCCATGCAACGTGTATACACTCACAGCTAAAGGGGGAGCGGTCAATGGGCGCTAAAAAACACAGCTCAACGGCATGGTTTTACTGATTAGAAGCGCTGCAATGCAATTAGAGAATCGAGCATGCTAAAAAAAATTAAACCAAATTCTGGAACATTGAGGTTGAATTTCATGGACAATTCATGAGGGTTGGAGCTTCAAAACCTTTTATCCAAAGCCAGTCAAGGCAAGGATGACATAACGTGGAATAGATAGTGAACCTTACACAATTGTTAGTAGAATCTAGTTATATTTTACATCTAAATTTTCTCCAGATGATCATTGTAGTCCATGTGGACTGATCATGTTCTACCCTACGTTGATGAAAGCAGTAGGTCTGGAGAGCGTTCTAGAGACCTGTGCCCATGCCCCTGTCTGTAAAATCTTGGTGTGGACTATCATGTCTGCTTTCAGTTTTCATTGTGAAAAAAAGGAAATTCTTGCAACTCATGAGGTTTAGACTGGTGAAATGTCCTGTGGAAAGTACCGTACAGAGCTACAGGAAACCTTACAGCTTCTTATCAGTTGGAACCTCTGGCTTTAATCAAAGGTTTGGCACAGCTAGAGAGAAGGCCTGTGAACATTATAAATGGGGACTGTCAGCATTATTCCATCTCTTCCATTCTGTCCAATCTCTTCTTTCCTTATCTACGTGCTGTTGTTTTTTAAAGTGTACCTGTCCTCCATAGCTGCCTTATCCACTTGAGTACTAGTCTGTAATACCCCTTTATTACCAGGCCATTTTTTAGTTTCCAGTGTTGTGATAGTTTGACTGACAATTACTTGGTCACGCAACATGGTACCAAAATTAATTTTGTTTCATTTTTTTTTTAGACAGATTTCTTATTGTGGTACTTAGTAACAAGTGAAAAAAGTGCTGTGATCCTTAAACTAATGATAAACACAGTGGTGTATTTAGGTTTTGTGTTGCCCTAGGCAACACAAAAATGAGCTCCCTCACCCACCCACGGAGAGACCCTGACACTGACAAACACCCCCTCCCCCACGATAAGATCCTGACATTGACCAACAACACCCCAGCCCCACCCGAGAGAGCCTTCCACTACCACCGCCCCATACACACTGGCAACCCCCCACCCTGGCAAGAGAGAAGACACTCACCTTCACAGCTCCAGACATCCCCGGGAACAAAAGTCAGGCTCTGCATACACCATCAAGCAGCCTGCAGCCTCTCTCAGACCCCACCTGGTTACCATGCTGCGTGTGTCCTTTCTTCCATCCCTTCTTTCGGGGGCAGTGATGCCCCCCTGAAAAATGCTGCTGACCCCCTGAAAAAATGTCGCCCTAGGAAAATGCCTTGTTTGCCTTGTGGTAAATACGCACCTGGATAAATATGAATCAAAAAGTCATAAAGCAGTGTAATAACAGTCCTCCATTACAAGTGTGGAAATAATGTGAAGATATGTGGCTTTTGTAACCACAAAAAGGGGAAGATCCTCACAAAATAAGAAATCACACCACAGTGATCCTCCATAATACATCGAATGGATACACTTACCAGACTGAATTGACCCTCTGAATAGGAGAAGTGAATATAGGCTCATGATAAACGAATCCTCCGTGGCACTGAATGACATCCCACACTTCATAATTGAGTATCCTTGCTCATGCAAAAAAGGGCAGGAATACTCCATAGCATAAAGCCATTTAAAATTATTTATTTTAAAATGAATAAAATACTCATAAAAGTAGGTAAAGACTTATCATCAATAATAATCGGTCCAGGGGATAAGATAGGTGCTTCCAGACTCAAAGGCTGTGAGGACGTCATGAACATCGGCTCCACCCTACGTGTTTTGTCACATATAACATCTTCCAGGGAAAAACATGGCATGCAGAACCTGCCACAGTGTGAACCTAGGCTTAAATTATTCAAGCAATGTTGCTGTCACTATGGAAGACACTATAGAGTCTTTGCAGAAAGAAAACTATAAGCCCCAGTTCACATATATGCGGCTGTGCGTGCTGCGTTTTGCGCGGGCACGAGAGCCCATTCAAAACGAGGCAGCATGGGAACCTCGGTTCCCAGTACAGTTGCGTTTTCCAGTGCAGGCGGCATGCTATTAGAACTAATGGCACCCGCCCATGGGTCTGCATTTCTCTGTGTGGGTGGTGCGGCTGCACGGATTTTCGTGCGTATCCGCAGCAACATCACCCGCACAGATGTGAACCTAGCCTTATATCATAATTACTCTACAATAGCAATAGATCATAACAGTGATACCTTGGCCATAGATGTACAGATGTCTTGTTGTATTTTCATTATGAATGACAGTTGTGATGATAACAAGGTTTGTGACTCAAGGGTTCACTTTCTATACTATGATGAAGTGTTTGGTTGACTACAGCTTTAACAGTCTAATTTTAGCACTGTAGTTGTATATCTGTTTACCATATGCTGGAAGGTGACTGCCGCTGTTCCCTGCATAACGTGGGTGTCCTGTTGCGGGGACATCACTGGAGAGGAGGGAGGTAGTGGAGCAGCTGGGATGTGCAGCCCGCAGAAGAAAAGAACCGGGCCGTGAACTATGAATTCTGTGCCCCTGAGTGGAGCGTCATCTGGGCCATATACCCTGCCAGGCTCCCTTCCCCTTCTTCTGACACTGAGCAGATGACACGGATGTCCTGCAGGCATCAATTTGGCACTAGACATTAGCCTATATATAAATATAGACATTTAGAATGCAAATAAAAGATATATATCAATTCCTGTGTAAAATCTTCTTACAGACTCATCAAAAATTCCAATGTGATGCAGACTGTCACCAGCATTAAAGTATATGTAAACCTCGCCTTTGTAAAACAACCCATTCAGTGGAAATGAAAGGCAAAACATTTGTGTATACATATAAAAAAAATGTTATAAACACTTTTCTTCCCTTTTTTATAAGTGATTACACTGTGCGGAGGTGCAGCGTGCTGCAGTGGCAGTAAACACATAGAGTTCAGTTGTAGTAAAATTCACAGACAACCCACCGGGAAGGCACCCAACCAGGGAACTCACAGATGTACTGTATGAGCAATGTAGAATAGAGGGCGGAATACCGCCTGGCTGGTCTGTACCCAATTAGGAGGATTCCAGGAAGGATGGCATGTCCCCAGGGGCGGACTGACCATTTGGAAACTTGGGCACTGCCCGAGGGCCCGGGGTCAGTAGGGGGCCCCATGAGATGCCCCTGGTACCTTTTTCATAGACTTTTTTGAGTTTGGGCAAGGACACAGGGGCCCCATGATCCCCTATTGCCTGGGGGCCCCATGAGTTGGCAGTCCGCCCCTGCGTGTCCCTATCCTTCCTACTCTGGAACCTTTCCCTACTGCTATTCATTGTCCCTGTCAGACGGGTGACCTGTCCCTACTGTAGCACCCTCTAGTGTGCTACTAGAACAGTGTAGGCAAATGTATTGTGTACGACTCATGGTAACTGTGTGAGTCTGTGATTAAGGACAGGTTTCTGCACGTCAAGCTGGATGGCTTAACAGGTTGGGGCTCTGTCTCCTCCACCTGGTTCTAGAGGACCAATGGAACCCTCCAGAAGACAGTAGGCGGAAGAGGTGGAGATCTAATCTGTATGTTTATGGGAGTCTAACCAATCCCAGGTTTGGAGGCCCTTGTAGAGTGGTGAACAGCCCATAAATATGGGAGAGTCAGGCTGGCAGGGAAGTAACATGGAAGATGGGAAGATGGGATGCCGAGGCGACTGTTGGTGGCCTGGGGGGGCGGGTCTCCTAGGCCTAGGGTGGGCTTTTGCCTCCAGGCCAAGCTCAGGAAGACCCATTCAGCATCACGGTATGAACAGGATCATTGCCTGGACAATGTAGCAAGCTTTCAAAGGACAGCACTGTGCTTAATCCTTCATCCTTGTCCTGGGAGATCTTCAGAGCAGCCAGGAGGGCTGGTAGTGTATGCAGGCTGTGAAGCTAGGAGCAGTTCTACAGGGGAGAGGAACTTTCAGAGCCCGTAAGAGGCAGTTGCTAATGATCCGTAATGACTGACTGCTGTCAAGGAAAAGGAACAGTCCATGATCTGATTCTGTAAATCGGAAGGAAGTTGTCCCTGTGCATTGATTCAGTTAAATTGGGCATCCCATAATCCCTATTACCCTATCCAAGTTATTTCCCCTAATAAAATAATAAAAAAAACAAGTTCAAGGACTGTTCACTGACTGTGGATGCAAGTGTAGAAAATACGTGTTGCCTGGCTGTGCAGAGCTAAGGCTACATTACCCACTTCGCAGAAATGTGTGCCAAACCTGTGAGCCAGGGTCTTTAATAGACTCTGCCTGACCAAAGATTCCCACCAGAGTCACATGGGTCAGCAGCATCCAACTGGATAGCTTCCCCAGTGACCCAGGAAACCATAGAGGAAAATGTTCCTCCTGACTTCCTCTCCCTCTGCAATGCCGCTGTAGTTGAGCACCATCTGCAACGTAGAAAGTAGACTGCACCTGCCTACAATATTCCCTTTTTTCTCACCTGAATAAGAGCTGGGGGAGGAGAAATAGCAGCTCACTGGTCTGTCCAGTGAAAGGCTGTGTGGGGTGGGGGTGTCAGGACAAGTCTGATCATTCAAGGAGAGCACATTGAGTTCCCAGCACAGCTAGAAAACTGACCAACCTGTGTTCTCCTGCTTAGTGTAGTCAGCTTTTAATAGGAAAGCAGAGAGACTGGCGGGAGCACCAGGGATTTTCACACAAAGGAAGCAATAGAAAGAGATCAGGATACTGTTCCATACAAGTACATGGTACAGAGGGCACATATCAGCAATAAAAAATGTTTGGTTTACATACTTTTTGACACAGCAAATTTTGTTTTTCTGAGTCCCCATTGTTTTATTTGCTCTTTTATTTGGTCAGTAGATATGTTATTTTTTACTTGCTTTACCAGACCAAACGATCCAGCAAAAATGGCAGTCACAGGGATTTGGGACATAACATATAACACTGTTGTGGGTCCATAGACTGGTTAGGTATATATATATATATATATATATATATATATTTATTTATTTATGAAATGGCAGAGGCAGGCAGCAACTGGACAACATTGCTTATACAGGCAATGGGAAGCTCAGTGAATGTACACTGGCATTTAAATGTGTGGCTCTATGATGATATTACAATAAATCTTTTTGTCATATATAAATCTGTGGTTTATCATTTGGTCTCTGTGCTTTCCGCCCTCTATCACCTCAATATTTTGATTTTGCATATACAGGGAGTGGGTTTACACAACGATCATTTTTAATTTATATAGCTCAAACCTTTTTTACCAAAAGAATGTAAACATGTTGCTATAATGGTAAAGAAGTTTGGCTTGTTTATTTTGTTTGTCTTTTTTACTTAATCACTTGCCCTCCAGAGGATTTACCCTCCTTCCTGACCAGGCCATCTTTTGTGTTACGGCGCTGCGTTACTTTAACTGACAATTACACGGTCATGCAACGCTGCACCCAAATGAAATTTACGTCCTTTTTCCCATGAATTGAGCTTTCTTTCTGTGGTATTTGATCGCCTATGCATTTTTTATTTTTTGCGCTATTAAAACAAAATACAATTTTGAGAAAGAAACAATATTTTTGATTTTTAGCTATTAAACATGTCCAATAAAAAATTTAAAAAATCAAATTCCATCAACAATTTAGGCCAAAATGTACTCTGCTACATGTCTGTGCTAAAAAAATCCCAATACATGTAAATTAATTGGTTTATGTGAAAGTTATAGCGTTTACAAATTGCTGTATATATACTGGGATTTTTTTTTTTACTAGTAATGGCGGCGATCAGTGACTTATAGCAGGGCTTCGGGACTGCGGTGGGCATTCTGACACTGGGGGAACTGACTTGGGGTCACTGACATCCCCAGTGACACCAATACAGTGATCAGTGCTAATAAAAAGCACTGACACTGTACTAATGGCACTGGGCAAGAAGGGGTTAACATGAGGGACGATCAAAGGGTTAATTGTGTGCTGTTTTACATTATGTGCTTTGTCTGTGTGCTTCACTGTAAGCACACTGCTATGCATGGCTGTGCTGTGCCATTCAAAGCAGTGTGGACGAGCTGACAGGGAGGAGAAGTATTTTGTTTACTAACAGTTCCCCCCCCCCCCCGTCGGAGATGCTCGGCAATCACTGGGCGCCGGCGAGTAATCACCGCCCGGGACCCGGTGATTGACAGCTGAGGCCGCGAATGGTTGCGCGGGTAGGGCGTGCGCGCGCGCCTTGCACGCCTCCTGCCCGGAAATGTACCTTTACCGCCCTGTAGCAGTGTTTCTACTATAGGACTGATAGGAAGCGGTTAAAGTGGAGCTCCAGTCAAAACATAAAAAATTTCAAAAACTAGCTTCCTCGATCCAGCAGTGTGCTCACCACAGCCGTTTTCACTGGCCAAACTCTCTGCCCGGCATCTTAAATGTGGACACCCAGCTGTGAAAACTTGCGGCTTCACAACCGGGTGGCCACTCCACATGCACAAGTAGTGCTGCGCCTTGTGAATGCTACCGTAGTCTTCACGAGTCCCAGAAGACTACAAGGAAGGAGGGGAGGACAACTTCCTCTTCCGATCGCCTAGACGGTTGCAGCGGAAGTGGGAGCGGGTACCTGTCTAAATTGGGTACCCACTCTCCAAAGGTGCCAATCCTTAATGGGGAGCAGGGGACATGGCCTTTAAGCGGAACTTCCCCTTTTGGGAAGTCTGTTTTAAGACTACGCATCCATCTAAGACTCCTCTTCCCACAGAGAGACAACACTGCTGTGTGATTTCACTGTAGAACAAACAGCATTGTCACCCTAATACAGGAAGTAGAAAAATAATGCCCCTAGTGGCAGGATTGACATATAATGAAACTATGCTACAGTGAGGGCCTAATAGAGATCTATCTAATAAATATCTATTTCACTGAATTCCATTTTGTTTTAAAATTGAATGCATCCCCTAACACTGAAATGTTACCCTTAACTCCATCTTGATCATTAACCGCTTGCCCGCCACCCTATACTAGAAGTACTGCTACAGGGCGGCAGGGCTGCACAAAACTACGTATATATATGTGTTTGGATTTCAGGGTAGGGGGCGCACGCGCATCCCTACTCGTGCCGCTATTGGCGGCTAGAGATGCCAATCACTGAGTCCCGGCCGGCGATTCCCCCCCCGCACTCGGTGATCGTTGGGGAAAACTGACGGGAGAGACCTGTGTGTAAACAACACAACTCTCCTGTCAGTAAGGACATGCTGCTTTGTATTTCTATGCATGGCAGAGAAATACAAAGCAGCATGTCTCTGTTGTAAAACACACACAGCACATAATGTGAACCACACACAGCACACAGTTAACCCTTTGATCACCCCAGATGTTAATCCCTTCCTACCCAGTGTCATTAGTACAGTGTCAGTGCTTTTTATTAGCACTGATCACTGTATTAGTGTCACTGGGGCTGTCAGTGACAGTTAGTCAGTTCCCCCCAGTGTCAGAATGCCTGCTGAAGTCCCACTATAAGTCGCTGATCGCTGCCATTACTAGTATAAAAAAATAAAGATTCCAGCATATATACCACGATTTGTAGATACTATAACTTTCATGTAAACCAATTAATTTACACATATTGTGATTTTGTTTAGCAAACATAGCAGAATACATTTTGGCCTAAATTTATGACAAAATTTTATTAAAAATTTTTTTTTTCTGTGGATATGTTTTATAGCAAAAAGTCCAGAATATTGTTGTTTTTTTTTTTTTTCAAAATTGTCGGTCTTTTTTTGTTTATAGCGCAAAAAAAAAAAACCCCCAAAGGTGATCAAATACCACCGAAAGAAAACTCTGTTGGGAAAAAGGACATAAATTTCATTTATAGACAGTGTTACATGACCGTGCAATTGTCAGTTAAAGTAACGCAGTGTCGTATCGCAAATAATGGACTGTCAGGAAGGGGGGTAAATCCTCTGGAGGGCACGTGGTTAAAGCAAACTCAAGCAAGGGAAAGCAATAGGTTTGATGTAATCACCATATTCCCAGCAGCACATACTCATCTTTTCTTTGCTCCCCTGCCACTCCATTCAGCTGTTTTAAAGCGGAGTTCCACTCAACCTATCAAAAAATAAAAGTCAGCAGCTACAAAAGCTGCTGACTTTTAAAAAACAGCCACTTACCTGTCCCTTGGTCCTGTGGTGTGTCCCCTGCAGCTCGTTTCACCGGCCATCCTGTATTCCAAGAGGACGGCAGCTTCAGTGTGGGCACCCGGCTGTGAGTAGCGCTGCACTTCATGAATGGTCCTGTAGTCTTCTGGGACCTGTCACGTGTCCCAAAAGACTACAGGGAGGGAAGACACCTT